CGGCCGGGGGAACTACGGCTCCCAGCACGCCTCGCGGCGCAGCCGCCGCTACGGGGTGGGAGGAAGGACAAAAGACGGGGGGCTACGCCCGTCCTGTTCTCCCCCCACTCTAGACGCACGCCCCCATCGGCCTCGCCCGCGTTGACGGTGAGGGGAGCCGGGCAGCGGCCTGTGGAGGATGGAGGAGAAGCCTTCCGCCGGCATCAAGCCCTACCTGGACAAGCTCACCCTGGGGGTCACACGGATACTGGGTGAGTAGCGCTGTGCGACAGCGCTTTGGGCCTGGGGGAGGTAAGGTGGGGGCTTGGGGGTGTCGCTCGGTTGTCACGGAAACCGCCCGCGGCGGGAAGCGGCGCCTCCCTCAGTGCCCAGGGTCCCCGGGGCGGCCCTGTAGGCCCCATCCCCGACGTCCCCGCCCGGAGGCCCTTGCAGCAGCGGGCCCGGCTTCGGCTGACCGTGTCGGCCCTGCGGCCGAGAGCTGCGGAGCAGTCCCGGGGTGTGAGATCCGGGTGCCTGCAGCGCTGGGACACACACACACCCCCCACACCCCCCCACACACCCACACCCCACATACACACACCCTGTTTCTAGCGTTTGAATCAGTGGCAGATGTTCAGAATCTCTCGACTTAAGAGAGCCCTACAGATTAAAAAAAAAAAAATCAAAGAAAGAGATGATGGTGTTTTATTCCAAATCATGCATAATTCTTGGCCTCTTATAATTTAGGGTCAGCAGGTAGCATGCCCAATGGAAGGAGTTCAGTGAGGTGCAGTGTTCTGGCAGAAGACTAATCTGTGAAATTTCTCAGGATCGGATCCCCATAAATAGTCACCCTGCAGCGTATTCCCATACCATGGGACTTTTTCCACAACATGCCCTGCTTGCCATCTCTGGTTTTTGCTCAGATCTTGAGCCTTCTTGCATCCTGGGAGTTCCCTTTGAAGTTCAGCAGGAGAAAGTAAGGCTTCTCAGACTAACCTTTGCTAATGGCAGTAGAATCACAAGAACTGGTGAAAGTGTTTGCATGTGTAAAGCATTTTAGCATCAGACCTTTCACCTGTCAGCAATCTGGGGCACAGAACCCATGTACCAATACTTCTATCCCAAGCCTTGCATATGACAGGATTACAAACTGCAGTTCCAGAACTTCTTCCTATGAATTTTAAAGCTAGAAGTGACTGCTTTGGTTACCTCACTCAGATGCTGTATTGTAGGACAGTGAATTTCATCTGGTAACCCAAGTGTATCGTTAATTGCACGTGTTTTTAGATAGCTGCTCAGACAGAGGAGATTAAAAAATCAGGGCAAAATTCATGCTGTGGGCTTCAGTGAGGACAGGACTTCATCCTCACTCTCTGTTCATCATTCTCTACTGACTTATTGGACTTCTTGGGCTTTTTTTTGTTTGTATTTTTCATTTTACAGTTGAGAGATCAGGATAACTTCACTCTGTGAGAGCATTAAAGAGATGAAACTACTGATGATCAACCATCATGGCAAATGCTTCTCTGAAGTAGCCCTTTTTAAAAAATTACTAACCCTTCCCACATTTTCACCACCCAGGCTCAGATATATGAGATCTGCATGATGTTTAACTACATCCAGAAGTAACGTTGACATATAAACTGTTTTGGGTAGCTGTGTTATTTACACCAGCAGGATATGACAATGCAGGTTTGACTCTGAAAGTCCTGTAGCATCCCTTTCACTGGAAGATGTTGCCTCTTTTGTGTTTGGGTTTTTTTTGTTTTTCTGTCTGTATCTCTGACAACCTGTATTGTGCAATACATTAATACACACCCCAGTCCATTGCAGTGATGGCTTTACTTTGGTTCTTTTCTCTGTCTCTCCATTCCTGGGTATTTTGCATATTTTTTTCCCAAAGAAGTAGACCAAATCATGTAAATTATGCCACCATATTAATTGGAATTGCTGAACTAATTGGGAAACGTTACCAATATGTTCAGTGTTCATGTCTTTCAAATAATGAAGGGTTTCTCATTCAAAAAGATGCCTCAACTCAGTAGTTTGCAGCACTAGAAGCTATCTTATTTTAAGTCTTTTGGGAAGTCTCATGAAACCACTAGATACTTTTCTGCCTACCATAACACAAAAGCAGTAATAGGCTTTTAACTTTGTTGAGTTTGTGAAACATTTTTTCAGGAGATAGAAATGATCTTTTAATGAAACTCAACATACTCCTTTTAGGTAGGAAAATTTTGCACATACAGTATATGGGAGCTTGAGGCCCAATTTTCCAATACCTTTATGAAGAAATGTTCATGGCATCATTTCAAAAACCCTTCTTTAAGCAAATTCTATATATGAGGCGGGGGGGTAGAGGGTGAGGTGGTGAGGGGGTTGTTTTGGGATTGGTTTGGGTTTTTTAACTTGTAGTCTCTGTGGAAGTCCCTACAAGGTGGGAGATTTATCACAAGCATTAATGGAGGTTATAATTTGAGGAAAAAAGACAAACATCTTTCCCATTGCCAGTATGATTAATTTTGCTGAAGTTCTGTGACTAATAGCAAATTCCAGGAAGGTTGATTGCCCACAACTAAATCTGAACAGGAGGTGTTAGCTGTTCTGGTCTGCCCAGAGCAGGACCATGCTTCACTAGTAACTTTTCAGACATTTAAAAAAGATGCTGAGAGTTTATCTGACTTATAGGCAGTATTAGCAGTACCGTAAGGACTGATAATGCTGTGATTTCCTGCTTCAGCTTTGTGTCACATCATTACATTTACTCTTTCTGATTAATACTGCAAAGCATTTTTGGAATCTTTCAGATTAAATGTCCTAGAAATAGGACAGAGTTTACTGTGATCTTCATTCAGAATAGTTAATAGAAAGGAGTCATCTGAACTAGTTAAGCTTTATCCTGTATCTTTTGTCTTAAAGTAGGTGGCTTCTTTATTTTTTCCATCTGGAAGAAGAAGCAACCCATGGCAATTTCTTATGCTCATTAATGTTTAATGGAGCTCCTCTCCATACCTACACAAATCTGTTAAACATGGCCTTCAGTTTACCCACAGGGTATTTTTAGTATAACGTTAAGGCTTTTAAGACAAAATTTCTCATTCTTTTGATCTTGGATTTGGTTCGGACCTCTTTAGAAGTTTCAGTTCTCTTATTCCTAGACGTCATCTTTGACTGATACAATATTTAATCTTCCGTCATCCCAGCCGAGCCGTTGTGCATGATGAATTAAACATCCCTGCTGTTTTCTTTGATCACAGAAATAACAATTACTCTGTTATTATAATCTCTTAACTTTTCATAAGGCTTGGATAGCTTAGATGGAAAGGACTGGTTAGATCATTGATTCCACACACACTTCTGATTGCACACTTCTTGAGAAGCAGAATAGATGTGGACAGCTTATATTTGAGCAAGAGACACATCCCCCTGCCTTGCACCCACCTATTGAAAGTGAAACTTGGTGAAACATCTAAGTTTTCTGTATATTGGGTTCCCCCCTTTGGCCATACAGATTAGCTAGGTGACCTACTGTGAGTTTATTTTTTTTCTTTTTTCTGTCTTTAACTTGGAGTTTGGTTTCCTGGTGATATGTTTTGTGTTTTAAAGCATCTGACAATGTACCAATCAATACTTTCAATTAAAATGAAGTTTAGACTTCCCGAAACGCAGTGCTGCTCTTCTACCAACAGAACAGACAAGGACAATGCTACCGCTAGAATTAAAAGCCCAGTGCTGGAGATAAAAAAAACAAACCAAAGCTCTCTAGTGCCTGCCTTTCCTGTCTAGTGCACTGTGTACGTTTTACCAGAAAGCAATTGTAATAGGTGTGACTGCTTTAGGAGCCAGTACTTTCACAGCAGAGCCGGTCTTGAAAGTCCTGCATAGTGATCACTTCTATTCCACGGCCCTGTGTGCTGGGCTTGCAGTTCCCACAACAATAAGTTAGTAGTCTTTCTGGACCTGATCCAAAGTGAATGAAGTCAGTGAGAACAGTTTCAGTTGGCTGTAGATGAAGTAAAACATTATAAAATAATAAGTGCAAAGAGAGACTGTTCTGCTGTGGCACACCTGCAAGGATAGCACCATGTAGATTAGTATCTTGCATTTATATAGCATTCTTTCCCATAAAATATTCAGATTATTTTTATAAATTATAAGCACAGTGCTCATAACAAATTTACATGTGTCCAGCTGTGATTCCAGAGAACTGATGTTTGTTCATGCAGATCCCTTCGGCAGGTTCAGATTCTGCATCTGCTTATACCCACTGAGTCCAGCACTGAAGTGTGCCTGTCTTTGGAGTACAGTTGTAAGCAACTCACAGCCGCACTGTACACAACCTTGTGTCAAGCTGAGTGTATCCTACCCAATGGAAACCACAGGGTATGCTTACAAAGAAAGATTCATCTCGTTTAGAGTCTGACCAGGAACCCATGGTTGATTTTTCCATGAATCCTCTGCAAAAATTCACACCTTGAATACAAAATGTGTGTGTATATGCATCTATAAAAACCATCAAAGTATAGCATCATGTGCAGAACTAGGCATCCTCATGTCAAGACATGCTGAGTACAGTTGCAGACAAAAGAAAGTGACTGCTCAGTCACCAGCACAGTGCTTGCAGTCATTAATGCCTTTTCCCCAGCTATCAGTTCAGGTTAACTTGCAGAATTGTCTGGCTCACATTGTTGGTGTTACCTGTGCCAGCTGCAAACATGCTCCTCTTTTCCTTTTAGAGACTTCTCCAGGAGTTGCTGAGGTGACGTTTGTGGAAAAGGAGCCAGCTGAACGCCATGCAATCGTTTCATGGGAGCAAGTGAGTGTTTTCCTGATGATACTGCAGTGAAGTCAGTCTGAATGTACAGCAGCCCATGGAGAATGTCAAATGCAATGCCTACCTTGTGTTTGTTTGTGAGACAGTCTGCTACCAAGTTTGATGCACAGTGGAGCCTAAATGGATCTTTTGGGGTTTTTTAATCAGATATTACTCTGTCTTCTAGGCTGTCACATGCACCTGATCTGTTAGAGAAACTTCATCGTGTGCATGTATTCAGGAAGAAACCACATGACTGTAGTAGGCAGCGACACTGGTGACTCAGTGGAGAACAAACATTGCTCTGACACAGGTCTGAAACTATTTTCCCTCTCCCTTTCAAACAAAATGGAGAAGCTCTTTATTACTCGTATCACAGAATTGTCTAGGTTGGAAAAGACCTTGAAGATCATCCAGTCCAACCATCAACCCAACATTAACACTTCCTAACTACACCAGATCCCTCAGCGCTATGTCGACCCGGCTCTTAAACCCCTCCAGGGATGGGGACTCCACCACTGCCCTGGGCAGCCCATTCCAACACCCAACAACCCCTTCTGTAAAGAAATGCCTCCTGATACCCAGTCTAAACCTTCCCTGGCACAAATTGAGGCCATTACCTCTTGTCCTAGTGCTTGTTACTTGGTTAAAGAGACTCATCCCCAGCTCTCTGCACCCTCCTTTCAGGGAGCTGTAGAGGGCGATGAGGTCTCCCCTCAGCCTCCTCTTCTCCAGACTAAACACCTCCAGTTCCCTCAGCTGCTCCTTGTAGGACCTGCACCAGCTCTGTTGCCCTTCTCTGGACACACTGGAGTCATTCAATGTCCTTTTTGTAGTGAGGGGCCAAAACTGAACACAGGAATCGAGGTGCGGCCTCACCAGTGCCGAGTACAGGGGTAAGATCCCTTCCCTGACCCTGCTGGCCATGCCAGTGCTAACACAAGCCAGGATGTCATTGGCCTTCTTGGCCCCCTGGGCACACTGCTGGCTCCTGTTCAGCCGGCTGTCAATCACCCCCAGGTCCCTCTCTGACTGGCAGCTCTCCAGCCACTCCTCCCCAAGCCTGTAGCGCTGCTGGGGGTTGTTGTGGCCCAAGGGCAGCCCCTGGCATTTGCCCTCAGTGAAACTCCCCCAGTTGGGCTCAGCCCATCACTCCAGCCTGTCCAGATCTCTCTGCAGAGCCTCCCTACCCTCGAGCAGATCAACACTCCCACCCAGCTGGGTGTCATCTGCAAACTGACTGAGGGTGCACTCAATCCCTTCATCTAGGTGTCATCTTCCATTTCTCATTGCCCCTCCTTCCACCTCCTCTTTGGCTAACTGGCCCAATCTTTTGGCCAAGGCATGTCCCACTTCTTGTTCTAGAAGACTACAAAGGACACATGCTACCTTCACATTAGCTGGCCCCACTGCATTGGACTACATGACCAGAGGGTTCTCTGAATTCTGTCATGTGACTCTGGTGGGCAGAGATGTCACTTCTGGTCCCCTTTTTAAATATACATGTTTTTTTCAGTCCCATGACCATGGGGGAATAACTGATTTCTAAGAATCACTCATATGTAGGGAAGGGACAGCAGAAGCTGACTGGCCTTTCGAAAGGGGCATGTCAGAGATCGGAGCTGAGTGAATCATCCTCCCTCTGCTCCAAACCTGGCTATGCCCTAACACACATCCTCCCAGAGACTGCGCTTGTTACTACATAAAATAACTTCCCGTTTGATGTTGCCTTGCCATTTACAGTTTTCTATAAACAGTAAGGAAAAATCTTGCACTAATTTTGGTAACACCCTGCCCAATTAATGCTATTTATCAAGAATTTATAAACTTGGGTCAGAATGGATGTAATGTAAACCTGTGTTATTTACTGAAACTTGTACAGTAGCCAATAACTGTGGTCAGGCAGAAATGACCATTTTTTCAAGTCCATGTGAACTGATACCTGATTTCCTGTAGCTGTTATTCAGGTATCGAATTAACTGGGCTGGAAAGTCTGATGCACCCTGGCTCTGAGCCAGCTCAGGTCTGGGAGCAGTAGAGTGACATTCATTCTTCGGTTGAGTGGAGAGGACTGCTTCTCCTGAAAACAGCATTGCTCTCATTTTCAGGTGCTGCTACTCCTCCAAACCAGGTTGGGTTTGTTTCAAAATCGAGCTGTTCTTGTCAAGCCAGACTTTGAAATGCTCTTGCCAAAGCACTTCGCTCCAAAGATGTCACCCCCCACCACCCCAGTGATGGACTAATTGTAGAAGTAAATAGTGAAAATTAAGGAGATACAGTTGATCTGGGCAACTAATGGTGAAGGACTTAGGTATCAGTTTCTTTGCTTTTAATTCCAGCTGCATTGACAAATCCTGAAGTCTCCTTTCTCGAATTAAAAGATAACTATTTTATTTTTCCTTTTTTCTCTTGAGCTTTGGGGATAAGTCTGATATCTAACACAGTCCACGCAACTGCAGTATGTCCTGCAGTGCTGATTAAGTGCACGTCACAGGGCCCTTCCAGGATGAATTTGTACCTCACTTTTCCTCAAAATCATCCTGCTTGAATTTAAATGCAAGTTTATATGTACCTAACGTTTACTCCTATCACTGTTTTTTTTTTTCATAGCCACTAGGTGGCAATACTTATGCACGTAATCATGCCTCCTTAGTGGAGATTTTAACAAGATCTTGTCACAGTCTGTATTTTTAATTTGCCTCTACTCTTTGGTAATGAAAGTATTGACAGGGCTTTTTGTGTGATGTAGTGAAAACTGGTCAAACTATTCCCAAAATTACATTCTTTTTCCAAAAAAAATATCCCCATTTTCTCATTGAGACTCACCACATAAAAGCTCTATTCTTAAGATTGGATTTTTTTTACATTTTTTTCTAAAGGAAATTATTACAGTTCTACTCCAGTTTTGTAATGAAAAGGTATTTCTGCTGAGAGAAAATCTGTGGTATTCAGAAACTCTTAAAAAGGAAATCAACCTTTTTAAAATTATGAATGATTAAAATTATATACTAGTAGTGCTGGCAATATGCTTTTTTTTGTCTCCATCAGCTGCATTTGTTCAATTGGGCTGTGCCTGACTTACGTTAGTATTTTGCTGGATACATCAATGGAAGTTTTAAAATCTTACATCAGCTTGGTGAATGTCCATTAGCTGCCATGAGGCTTTGCAGGGGAAGGTGAGCTTCATGACAGGAGACAGTGCAGTAAGACAGTAGGAGAGCAGAAAAGATTTTTTCCAAGTCTTTCTGTGGAGGTGGAAAGAGCTGTTAAATCCTACTCTCAGGAAACCAAACCTGAAATTAATCCTGAATATTTTGTTGGAAATCAGCACATTCGCAAAAATATTGAAAGTATATGGTGGTCAAGTATTTACATAGGTAGCATCACTTCCCCAAAACTTTCAAGCAGATCAAAATATTTTTAAAAATACTAGTTAATTTTTTCACCTTTCCTGAAATTTAGACCTACCAAGATGTTATCTTTTCCCCAAGAAAGTAAGGCAAGCAATAGAATGGGGAGTAGAGACAGAGTTACCAGGTCACTGGAACACCAGTGCTAATAACTGTATATTGTCCTATGAACCTGTTCCCACTCCTAAAATTAGGCTGTCAACTGCCCTGCTCCCATACACAAGCAGTTTTTAAAAGTAGGTGTTATATTAAAATATTGCTAGGAGGCACACTGGTATCTGCAGTGACAATGTCTGAACCACATTTTCTTTTTGCCTCAACCAGAAAAGAGGTAAGTCACTCGCATCATTGTTTTGGTTTTCAGAAAACAGAAAATTGCATTCTGTTAGGGGGAGCTGGAGGTCCCAGCGCTCAGCACCTCAACAGTCCAAACCAAATGAAGGGGGTCATTTTGCCTGTTCCTCTATTTGGCTTGTTAGTGGTGTCTGAACTGCCATGGGCTGGCTATAGGTGATGCCTGCCCATCACATTGCTGGAGCTTTGATATTCTACAACTCTATCTGGGAAATTTGTTTCTCTTTAATGCACTTTGTCTGCAAAGATTTATTTTTCTCTGATAAAACCATTAAAAAGCCCTCAAGCAATCTGGTGCTTTCCTGTTGTGGACTGTTTTAGGCTGCCAGACGATTTAGAAACTGCATGTAAATCTCAGTGGGAACTGTGGTGGTGGTTCCTGGCTATTCTGTAAGTCTTTCTTATCGCTTCTACCGTATCTCTTTTTGACTCGAGTATGCATGCAGGCGTGCGCATCCACAAGGGTCCTTCTTGGCATCCTCCTTGTAATGTCCTCCCTCAGCGTTAGGCGAGCCTGCCATCTCTGATCCCCAGGAGCACAGATCTGCCCATCTTGAACCTGACTATGGGAGAGGTGGGGAGGCAAATCCAGCAGAACCAGTGTGGGAGGAAAGGTATATTTCTTCAAGCTGCATAACAGAGAAGAAGCTGGAGGACTTTAGGGAGGTAGACAGCATTTCTGACATAGTGTTCAACTCCTGTGAGGCCTGATTGAAAAACTAGGTGCACAACACCATTCTCAAGAGGATTACCAAATCCTGTTCTCTGCAGCAGGCAATCAGGTCTGCCCCAGCCCTGTGCCTTTCAGGGCAGGAAATCCAAGCAAGGTTATCTCCTGGGAGACCCCACAGATCAGATTTATAAAAGGTGCAACAAGAACATCTCAGTATGTTACATAAATTAACATCTGCATTCACTGGCAGCTAGGGCAGACCAGTTATGAAACAGCATGATGTTAGGGACAGGGAAAGGTGGCTGCTGATTTGGCCTGTTACTTGGTAGCTCCGAGAAATGACATAAACCCCTTCCTTGTCTCCCCAGAAACTGGATAAAAACTCATTCAGTTTTTTAAAGAAATCTCTAGAGCTATATGTTTTGATTGCCGTCCATTTCTTTAGCTATTTGCTTGGGAGGCATTGTTTCAACAGTGCTTTAAGTGAATTGCCATATGTCAGTGTTTTAGCTCTAGATCCAGCACTGATCAGGTCTTGGCAGCAAAACTACCCTGGTTCTGTCCTCAGTGGACTGTGCTTTCTTGGGAGACTGCGTGGGGGTATTATGGATGATAAACAAAAGAAATAGACCTCACACACCATATTGGGCACTTGGGATATTTTGTTTTATGAGCTGATGAGTGTAACCAGATGACTGGAGTGAAAACAGCTGCTTGCTAGGGCTATGGTTAAGTCACTTCTGGCACATTATTAGGAATATTGTATTTTATGGGGCTGGAGATCACAACCCTGGAAACTACCAGTTGAGCAGGAGTACAGAGCTTGAGAAGCCATTTTTAATATATAGTAGTGGTTTGTTTCTTTGACTCTTGCCAGATGTATGGTATGCCACTGTTTTGATGTCATAGGGTCGTGTGGCTGAGCATAATATGACAGATCAATCAATCCTTTCTGTCAGATGGGAGAGATGGGTATTAGTAAAGCTTTCTATATACAGGCCTTTTCCTATAGACCCCATATCTGCTCTGGTATAGCAATTTCCACCCATGTATTTTACACCATTATTTGGAAATTCATGCAAAGGAACATGGTTAGGAGAACCCTAAAATAATTTGGGGAGGGCAGCCATTTGGAGAAACATGTACATGTTAACCTTTTCATCCAGAAAAAGGAGGATTTGAAGCAGAAGGCTTATCCAGACTTGTTTTTTTCTTTGTCTTAATCAGCTGTGTTTGTTAAATTGGGGTGTGTCCAGTTTGTGGTAGTATTTGACTGGATACTGAGGTAGAGTTTTTAAAATCTTAGATTTTGTCATCTTGATGGATCTGGTTCTCCTCCTTAGAGTAGAACACCCACTGAAGTCAAGAGCAGTTCACGTATGTATTTTTACTGCTGGGGTAGTTAAAATTGGGGGGGTTGAAATGGACTGAAAGTGCTGTGTAAACATTTGTACTCTTCTGAGGCTTTGTCGCAGGTCTGCCATATTTTCTTTCTTCATAGTTTTAACCCTAATCACTGTGCTTACAGCTACAGCTTGCACCTGGAAGTGGTGAAAACATAGCATGAAATTATAAATATTTAGGACTGAGAAGAACCCACAGAAGAAGGTGTGTTTGTTAAAGGCATTTGAAGAACTTCAGATATGTCCATGTGGTTTAGTAATCTCCTGAAACTTACCACCAGGGCCTCGGCCATCAGCAGGTTCTTATCAAAGGACAATAAATTCCTAGTTTCTGCAGTATCAGATTCTCTGTTTTAATACCTGTTGCCTCTGAAGATTTTCCCTACCTGGGTTAGGAGAGCACTGTGCTAGTGACCTGGCTGCTGACAGTGCAAGTAACGTGACCTTCCCTATTGCAAGCTGCAAATCCATTAATATCTGGGACTCGTCAGTAGCAGTCTGTCAGCATAAAATGGTTATGATTAGAAAGTAAGTTAACACATAGGATTGAAGATTATGGGTGGATTAGAGGGTCCTGCACAGCATATACACCACAGTTTAAGGCACAGGGACTGTAACAACTCAAAAGAAAGTGTCTGTGAGTAAGACTTTAACAGTCAGAAGGGCTGCCATGGTCCTAGGGAAGGGAGGGGATGTGGACAGGAGGCCAGCGCCTTCCCTTGCTGGTGCCAGTTACTGATGATTAGAGGCCAACATTGCAGCTGGATGCACAGCTGGCAGGTAGCTCCTGCTGGATAGGTTGCACTGAGGCAACATAACTGGATATGATACAAGATAACTGGATATGCACAAGTTGCAGACATGGAGAAGAATCCAATCACCTTCTCCTGAGATGTTACAGATTCATGCCCCAGGTGTAGCAGAGCCACCTGAACTGCATGTGCATGTTTCTTTTCCTTAGCTACTAGTGACCAGAATATTTTTTTCTTTATTTTATGAGACTTTGAATGTTACATTTTCTAGTAGCTGTAGGTAAGTAGTCCCAGCAGATGCACAATATTGGAAAGCTGTTTAACATCTGACTCCCCTGCTTTCTCCAAAGCAATTCTGTAACTGCTCCAAAACCCACACAAGCCGCTGAGCCAGGCTGTGAATACCTACCTGAATAACATATTGATCTATGGCAGGGTAAGCCTGTATGAGAGACAACAATACTGACCTATAAATATTTTTAAAATTTATAATTCTGTCTTTTCTTGCTTTGAGTGTCAAAATCGCTGCACAAAGATCAGGACACATCCAACAACATGTTTTTAAAACTGGCTAAATGTAAAGAATACACCTCTTTTAGAAAAGGCTGAAAATCATGTCACAAAAGTACTTGATTTATCAGACATGCTATGTTGCAAATCTCACATTATTTGTCCATTTTCCCGGTAAAATGTAGGTAGGAACAGAGAGTCACTGGTCTGCAGCCAGTCCTGTCACCAGGAGCAGTGCCTGCAGTTGCCCATAGATATTTGGGCTTCTTGTTCTGAGGGCTACATCTTTATCCTTCCTTCCTCATATTTGTTGTTTATCTGAAGAGTCTGAGTTAAGAAAAACTTCTTCCACAACCAAGATGGATATAGGAAATGGGTTCTGGTTCTTAGAAACACTCTCCTCAGCTCACTGGAGATGCTGTTCTCACTGTTGGCTCAGAAAGAGGCAGGCTTAGGACCCCCAACCAAGCACCGAAGTTTGCTGAGATGAAGCCAGACCAACAGGTTTGTGAGACTGACTCTGTGTGTATTTGCACGCATAGCGAAGCGTCAGACCTGTTCAGCTGTGTGCTGCTGAGTGTGCAACTACTGAGTCTATGCTTCTCTCACCTACTTGCAACTGAAATCCCTCAGAAGAAAAGAGTCCTTGTGCTAATATTGTACATGCTTTAGTGGAACTGGTAGTTTTAGTCTGACTGCACTTAGAGCAAAACTCTGCTCTTGTAAGATGTGTATATGAAAAAGTCTGTTGTTCTTATATATGTGATCTCCAAGTGGCTTTTAGTTCAAAGGATATGTCATCTCATTTAGGGAACAATCCTGTAATGATCTTTTGATGACTGACTGCTGATTGTGAAATTTTCCCAAGTCATCTTTGTTAATACAGTAGTACAGACCCAAGAAATATGCCATTTTCTCTCAAGGTTATAGGGTGAGATCTTTGAGCTGACTTGAGTCATACTGGAGTTGAGCAAAACATTTGGTGGCAAATATTTCTATACCAATACTCGTTGTTCTTTGGAATTGAGGCATGTTTTGCATTTTCCAATAGCAATTTGATTGTGATTTGCAGAAAAACTCCTGCATATTGCCAGAGGATTTGAAGAACTTCTATCTGATGACAGATGGCTTCCAGATGACCTGGAGTGTGAAGACTGACGGTGAGTCCATGTATTCCTCTCCACCGACACCCTCATTTTATTGCAGCCAGTCTTTCCTTTGCAGAACCTCTTCAATTTCAAACTTACTTTCTGGTCAGTCAGTACAGATCTGTCAGTATCCTGCATTAGTCTGAGCAAAAGCACATGCACCAAGTAATTTTGAATGAAAAATTAGCACCATTCCTTAACTCACAAAAAAAATTAAGTAGATTGTTTCTGCTAGGCAGCTTGATCAGTGACTACAGAAAACTGACCTCTGAATTAATAACTAAAGGCAGATCTTCATGGGGTTGTAGCCCATTTTAGAGATGTCTTGGTGAGGAAAAATTATGACTGAACATCAGAGGTCCCTTCCTGATGCAGCAGGGCAAAGCCTATTGCTTGCATGTGATGGACTTCCAGAGAAGAGACGTGTACAGTGAACACTGGCTAGAAACCAAACAAGTCTTTGTGATATAAATACCATTGTGTAATACACTGGCCATCTGTTGACACTCAGATTAAGTATGCGGTTTAAATCTCATACCCATACTCCCTCTGTAGTTCCTGGAGAGAGAAGCAGCTCTAGCACATTATCCTATCATAAAGCAGTAGGGTCACCCTCTGATAATGCCTCTTTCTCATTAGAAAGTATATTTATGTGCCAGAGCCTGATTCTGCTTTCCACCAGCTAAAGTCCTTTCACTGGAGTTATTTCTGAAGTCAGTGGTGAAAGTGAGAACTGGACTGAGCTTTATTGTCCATCCTTGTTTCACAACAATCAGGTGGTTCATTCACTCTGTGCTGGGGGCTTGCCGCTATTATCCTGGCTTTCATTGCCTGCCAGTAAGTTTGTCAGATTGGGCTGTGGATACCGCTTGCTTCTGGGGAGGGGTGTCAAATACAGGGTTTTCCTCAGGAAGTGGAATTTCATTTCAATGAAGTGGCTTTAGCTAGCCAGGATTTTTAATACCCAGTTTCACAGGGCTAGGGTAACAGCTGCAGCACAGTTTTAGCCAGAAGTGTCATCCTCATACCTGCACAGCTCTGAGATGACATCACATCACCTGTAAGTGTGATTCAGTGTTTGAAAAAGCCTAATTTTTGCTCCTGTGGAGCTTGACTTCATTAAGTGTTGCCTTCTGGGCATACCCATCTCTTCTCTGCATCTGTGTTTTAGTAGAGGTTGAGTTGATGTATGGAGGAGAAGAAATGCCTCCTATGCTTTCCTGACACTGAATGTGATAAATGATCAGTCTTATTGCAGATACCCCAATGCCCCTGGGCTCCATGGTGATTAACAGTGTCTCGAAGCTATGTCGGCTTGGGGGTTCCCCTATGTACACTCTGCCTAATGCACCAACTCTCGCTGACCTCGAAGATGACACAGATGAGGAAGGTAAGGTCCTGTTAACAGGCTAGAAAATGTGCTCTGTCTTACCCTCTTGCTCTGTTAGGGTAACGTTAGCATATAGCACATGAATATAGCAACAGAAAAGGTCACTCCACATAGATGGGGTTTTCTTTGTTTCCTGTGCTGGATACTGTATGTCCTGTTAATCCCCTAGAGCCTTGACAGGTAGATCTGTGTGCTTTGAATCTCATGGAGATTGTTAACACTGCCAGTTGCTAGTAATATTTGCATCCTCCTTTAACATCCTGGCAGCCTTCCTGTTCTGCCTTTTCCCTGTTTAAACTTTTACCTGAGGCTTCCTCCAGAGATTCAGCTTCTGAAGTCTTTATGTGGTTATGATGTTACATGAACAATCAGTTTTTGTCTTAGTAGTGAAAAGTCAGCTGGATATGCCCTTTGGAATTGGAAAGGTAACTCTGGTAAATACATGTAAGTGTGAGGTAGCACTGGAAAATGCGTATTTCCAGACTGCCTAAAAGTGCTAAGCATCCTCCAGTTTGGAGATAAAAAGACCAAAAAAAGCCCACTCCTTTCCTCAGAATTCTTAAGGCTGGAAGAATTAAGAAAATAAGAACAGAGGCAGGTGTCATGCTGACTCCTTTAAAAATTATGATTTGATTTCAGTCTTATCTCTGTATCTCTATAGCTCTTGTAGCTTCTAAATGTGGCTGAAAGTTTCTCTTTGCACATTCCAGCTTGGCTGCAGTCCTGATCTTCTAGCCATTGTAATAAAATAGGCCCAATTCTGCTTCCATTTAACCACTCAAACCTCCACTGATGCACTTATAAGGTACACTGAGAATATTTACATCCTCATAAAAGTTCACATCCTGACTTTCATGGAAAATTCTTCTGAAGGGTACAAGTCTTTGTGTCCTCCTTCTTCCTCAGCAGCATTAAACTGAAAATTATATACTGTAGGGACTTGGAGCTACATGATCCCAAAATGGTCCTGTAGAAAGGCTTTGTGGTGGTTGTGGGTCACAAGTTGAATGTGAGTCAGACTGTGTGGCTGTTAAGAAGGACACTGATGTCACACTGGAACGTATGAAGAAATGTTTGTCTCCCAAGTTTATCAAAGTCTTCTGTCAAGAGAAAAAGAGTAAATTGTTCTCCCTGTCCTCCTTAGAAAAAAAGAAAGTAGGGCAAAAAAGAGATGGTGGATAGAACAGAAGTAATGGCCTTCGATTGTAGCAAGGAAGATGCAGGATTCACATGATGAAAACTTAAGTGATAACAATGGATCTGGATTGACTGTCTAAAGATTATGGCATCTCCAACACTAAAGAACTTATAGAAAAGATTAGACAAACACTTCTGAGGAATGACATCTGTAAAGCTGATCATGCTTTATGCCAGGGAAAGACTACAGGGCAGCTTGACGTCTTTTTTCAGCCATCTGATTTTGACTCTGGTTTGTTTTCCTACTGGAGATAAAAGTTTTTCTCACATTTTTTTTTTTTTTAACAGGGAACTTAATCCTTTCCAATAAGTATAAATATAATAGTTTTATTTAGTTCTTCCTCAACTGATTTATATAATAAGCATTGAATAGATTGACTCTTAGCAGCTGAGTCACAGTCTGTTTTCCAAACATATTTCATAAAGATTTGTTTCTGTTTTTAGGTAATGGAGACAAACCAGAGAAGCCACACTTTGATTCTCGTAGTCTTATCTTCGAATTAGACCCATGCAATGGGAATGGGAAAGTTTGTCTTGTTTATAAGCATGCTAAACCAGGTAAGACTGAAAAGAGCAAAGTTAGCCATCTCTTGTTGTGGATTGTATCTGGAGGCCACATGAGTAGAATTGTCTTACACTTCTGATCTTCTTTGCAATTTGTAGATGGGACTAGAAATGCAGGAATGTCCTGTCTCCACTGAAGTCAGGGCCTAAACCTTTCAGAGACTTAACTAGAGCTAACATTTTCTATCCTTTTAATGTTGGAGTCTGAGTTATAACTTATGATTTCTGCATACATAGAAACAAGGAAGCGTTCACATATGTCCTACAGACAATCATGTTGAAATAATACGGAGAGCTAGAGCTCAGCCACTAATGTATCTCTGGTTACTTACATGTCTCAGAACAATTCCCTTATGTTTTGGTGAGAAAGGCTGTAACTCTTCTAAGAAGCAAAGCATAAATGGTAAAAAACAGTCCTTAGCTGATTGGAGACAGACTGGTTCTTCCACCTTGTGCATGGATGCAGAGCCTCCAAATACTACCTAGGTCAAAATTTGTCAGGAAGGGTTCAACAGGAAAGTTAAAGATGTGAGCTGAGCTGTTTCTTCTGACAGATGCACAGAAAACTGTTACCAATCTGTGATTAGTGGAACACCCAAGTTGCTTGTGAAGTAGTTTTCTGACACTGTGCACAGGTTACTAGGTGTATGTGTATACACTGTGTGAGGACGTGCAATTGTGATATACCTGTTCTTAAGAAAACTCTTTCTTTTGTTATCTTGCGTCTTTCATTGGGTGTGACTACAATTCCTAGGGCAGGAACTTCTTACTTGTTCTCTTGCCTTCTGGTGTTAATGATTTCAGCACATGCAGTGCATAACTTGAGCAAGGGGAGGGAGTGTTGTGGGATGCCATGTGTTAAGTTGACAATGTTCAGCATCTCAATTTCCCAAGTAAAATCACTTCTTTTTATGTGACAAAGGATGTCGCCACCAGAGAAATATTTGATCACTGTGGAAAGATTTTACAAAATGTGTTTCTGTTGGCAGCGCACACTCCCATGACTTCCAGACTCTGGACTCTATTTGGTAACCCAGATGGCTGACAGTTGAGTTAGTTGCTTTTTACTTTGTGAGGCAGATAATGTTTGCCATAATTGTACTTTGAACTTATGCTACAAAGTTGCTGATGTCTAAGCATGTTCCATGTAGCCCATCAGTCCCAGGTTGTGAAGGAATAGCATTGCATCCATTTTACAGTGGGTAAAGTGAGTGTAATGGCTATTGCACAAGTATTTTTAGTACAGCTGGGACCAGAACCAAGTCCATTCAGTCCCCATGCTCTAACCATCACATTGCCTCTGGATAATCATCTCTGTTAGTTCATTGTAGAAGCTGCGCCTTTTCTGATAAGCGTGTTGTGTCTCCCACCTGACAATGTCCAGGGGTTGATCTTATCACTGCAAAGCAACAGTGTCATTTGTGTTTGTTTTGTTCTAGTTGTCTCCCCAGAGACAGAGATATGGTTCCTGGACAGAGCTCTCTATTGGCATTTCCTCACCAAAACTTTCACAGCCTACTACCGCCTGCTCATCACCCACCTGGGTCTCCCACAGTGGCAGTATGCCTTCACCAGCTATGGAGTCAGCCCCCAGGCCAAGGTAGGACCACAGGATCCAGCTCATCATTATTTTGCATAAGTATAGACTGGAAAAACATCTTCCTACCTTTTGACAAGCAGTCTGTAGGCTCAAATGTGCCTTCCTGGTGAGCCGTGGAAGGGTCCATGAGTCTTTCCCCTATAGCATGTTAACAGTCATTTGTTTATGTTAGTGAATTCACTAAGGTTGTGTTAACTCTGCTTTTCTCACCTGAATTAGCCTTTACCTTTAACCTCTATAGCAGGTGATGGAACCCTAATTATTTATTTGATTTCTTGACTCTGAAACAAACCTCTGTTTCCACGACTGCTGGCAAGTGAGCAGATGTAAAGCAGTTCATCCCCACAGCTATATAAGATTTGTCTAGATCAGTTTTATGTGCAAGCACTGAACAAGAGCCTCCTGCTCTCTGGGTAAAGAGGAAGGTCCAGGTACACATTAGACAGAAACCCAGAGGAAGAATATGAGCCTGAGCCTTGCCAAGAATATTAATTCCTTTGCGTCCTCCTCAGTCATAAAAGGATACCTTGATAAAAGTGATGCCCAAAAAGGGGTAATTTAAATACCAGCAATTCTAGAAGTAATTATAGGAAAGCTCCAGGTACAGCCTCGTGACCATTCCAACCCCTTATTATTGAAATTGCTATTCTGCTCTGCCGAGCCCTCCTATTAGAGACTCCGCCATTCCTCTATGTTTGACTAGGCCTTCAGCCCTAACCCTACTTCCACCTTATGAGAGGTTGGGGAATGGATCTGACAATACTACCAAACACAGCACTTGGGGTTGTTCAGCCCAGAGAAGAGAAGGATCTGGGGAGACCTTACAGTGTCCTTCCAGTACTTAAAGGGGGCTACAAGAATAATGGGGAGGGCCTGTTTATCAGGGAAAGTAGGGACAAGACAAGGGTTAACAGTTTTAAACTGAAAGAGGGTAGATTTAGATTAGCTATAAGGAAGAAATTATTTACTGTGAGGGTGGTGAGACACTGGCACAGGTTTCCCAGAGAAGCTGTGGCTGCCCCCTCCCTGGCAGTGTCCAAGGCCAGGCTGGACGGCTTTGAGCAACCTGGGCTGGTGGAAGGTGTCCCTGCCCATGGCAGGGGGGTTGGAACTGGATGATTCTTAAGGTCCCTCCTAACCCACACCTTTCTGTGGTTCTGTGATAAGCCTGTGTAATGTGTATGCATGTTGGCAAGGCCTGGTGGGACTCAGTGAGTGTCAGCATCACATTCTTTGGTCCTGCCACAGACCTGTGCGTACATCAGAACTACTCACTAAAATCACTGCCGATTTCCATCTATCAATGGCTGTAGAATTTGTTTCTTTGTATTTCTGGTGTTTTCCCTGTTATACTGTGCTCTACTCTATCAGTAAAAGCTGTGTACATGCTACTGTAGCATATGCCTGTGCTCTGCCTTCCTGTAACCTTCCTACTAGAATATTTTATTATGTTCATTATATTCACAAACCTTAGTGAAATCATTCATGTATTCCCTAATCATTTGCAGCCTCTGTTAGTTAAAATCCTCCTAGTATGTTAACCATTATCATTTTTAAAGGTCTTCAAGGGTGGTATACTAAAGCTGTTTTCCATTAAGCAGTACATGAATAGATTGCCATCTACATTTTGGTATTGATATTTTGTTTACCTTGTTCAACAGTTTGCTGATGGTTTCAGTAGGATTTGTGATACCATAACCCCCACAGTTTTATTTCCTGACTTCATCATTGGAAAACCGATAATAAAAATGCTTAAGATATGAGAGCTGCAGGGCATAACTTTGTATTGGCATCTGGGATCCAAAAAATTAATTTTTATGGTCACTTCTAGATGTAAAATCAGGCCAAAGAGAATCAAACACAAAATCCTTTGTGTAAAGAGTTAAAAAACCTGCATTATTGTATGTGTCAGGAGAGGGAGGGAGGCTATATTTTGAGAAGTTCAGCTAGTTTGGTTCCAGTTTATAAGCACTTCTAAATTCCAAGGTTTTTTAATCTTTTCTGCTTCTTTGAATCTAAATAAATGTGGTTTAGTTTCATCCCCTCCCTTTGCTTTTCTTCCTGTGGTTTAAATCGGGAGTTGCTCCTGACATGGGTTACACTGCAGGAAAGGTAGTGTTAGGTTTGTGTCTGGTTCTCCTCTTCCCTGTCTGGAATGTGGAGCAGTTCCAGGGCTGTAGCTGTAGCTGTGCTTTGTGTATCCTTATCACAAGACACTCTGCGTGGTCCTGTAAACTGCAAACTGATAAGTGGTATATGATTAAAATCAGGTCTCAGGGGTGAGGGGGAAGAGGGTAGAAATGTCTAATTGCAGTTTGATTTTTAACTTCTTTCTTCCCCACCATCCTGCCTTTCAGCAATGGTTTAACATGTATAAACCCATAACCATCAACACAGATCTCCTCTCTGAAGAAGCTGATTCCTTTGTGAACAAGCTGGACCCCAATAAGGTATTTAAAAGCAAGAACAAAACTCCAGTGATCAAAAAGAAATTGCCCTCCCAGCCAGCAGGCTCCCAAAAGAGTCACACAAGCATGACCTCCTCCAAGACATCTTCACTAACTGGGAATTCTTCAAGAAAGTGAGACCCCCAGATCTTACCCTGGACAGCACTTGCAGTAAACTTTGATGTTCTCTGATGCAAAGTCTCGGTGGTTCAGACCAAGTTCCATGTGCATGAATACATGTGCCTATGGAAGACACATTGCAGCGTTTGCATTAAACATAACCACAATGTACTTTGACATGGGAGGGCTGTAGTTCTTGGACACACTGAGAAAAAACTTGAGACATTGATTTTATTCCCTTCTGCTATTTGCAGCATGTACTTTTCAGAGGACATAAAGAAGCCCTTGATGTCACTGTTCTGTAGGAAAGCTTTTCTTCCTGTGTAGCTACAGCACTGTAATGAAAGTAATAGATAGTACAAGAGGCCTCAAGTTGTGCCAGGGAGGGTTTAGACTGGATATTAGGAAGCATTTCTTTACAGAAGGGGTTGTTAGGTGTTGGAATAAGCTGCCCAGAGCAGATGTGGAGTCCTCATCCCTGGAGGTGTTTATGAGTCGGGTTAACATAGCGCTGAGGGATCTGGTGTAGTTGGGAAATGTCAGTGCTGGGTTAATGGTTGGACTAGATCACAGAATCATCTAGGTTGACCAACCTAGATGATTCTGTGATGCTGTGAAAGAAAATGTAAGTCACCATTACTTTAATAGACCCGAGCTGAAGTACAGCATATAAAGATATTTATGCCATCTCCTTTGAAAGAAACCTGTCCTGACCTTGCTTGCTAAGGGAGCAGACTGGAACACACTGAACAAACATTTTCTCCTTCAGTCAGAATCAAACTCCACACCTCCCCGTGCTCCTTACGGCTTCCACTCTGGGATTCATGGTGCAAAGGGACCTGGGGCTTCCATGTCTCTGCATTGGCCTAGTCGCTTGTTCTACAGCCCAGACAACTTTTTGGCCTTTGTGCCATATCTTTTTGGATAGTGATGTCTGTGTGATGTCCTTCCCAATAAGCCTGAAGGCAGCCAGAAGTTGCAAGATTCCTCCTTGCCGCTGCTTTCTCCTCCTGTGGGAGCTGCTGAGCCAGGGCAGGTCGGTGGTGTTGAGTCCCGTAAGCCAGGAGGATCCCTTGGTTTGTCACACAGTCTTTTGTAAAATTGACCATTCAAACAGCCTTTGTCACTTTTTCATTGGGCAGGATCTGACCAGAGGCCACTGAAATCCTACAGACTTAGAAGCCCCTGATGCTGTTTCCTATACCGTAAGTTTTCAGGTTAGAACTGCACTTTAACCTATTCACTGCTGGTTTTCAGATACAACCGATTGTTTCCATTACCTTTCTATGCCATTCTGTTTTCTTATATGTGCTGGAAACACATGGTAGCAACCAACACATTTTGTGCCTAAGCTGGGAAATCAAAGTCACCATCTTCAAATAAGCATTAATTATTTAAACAGCATCATCTTTTAATTATGAAACACATAATTACATAAGACAAACCTACCTCACAGGATGTTGTGAGGCTTTCACCAGTATTTATATGGCCTTCAGAAAGATGAAGCCACCCTGTAAGTGCTTAATAGTATTTTAATAAAAATTGTAATATTTTCCTCCAGGGTGATTGGGTATTTGAAGATGCTTTTGGGAGCACATGCACAAGGATGTATAATAAGAGCAGGGTGCAGGCTGGATTGTTTGGGGGTTTTTTTTAATGCAGTGGAGTATCTCTCACTGAGAAGAGATGGGTTACAGTGTCTTTTAGTTAATCCCATCTTGAGGTACTGTGAACTTCCCAGTGTAGTTCAAAAAGACCAGAAGAGTCGGCTGTGTGACAGCTGTTCCACATCCTGCACTCACTGTTCAGAGTCCCCGCAGCTCTGGCACGCTTTGCTGGCTTCCAGCACTGCCCAGGGCCCACCCTCCGGTGCAGCTGCTGCATTGCCTGGCAGCTGCCCTCTGCTACCCCAAAATGTGAGAAAATCCTCTAATGCTCTTCAGCCCTTATAAGATGATGTGTGTCTTGTGCTGGGTGAAGATCTGCTGCAGCTGCTCTACTTATATAGATCAGCTCTAATGAGGAAGCAGAGGTGCCAGTACATGCCACCCCACCCCATGCCACCGTAATACGTTAGTAATTCTTCTAGTAGTGAGACATGAATGACCATTAATGACAATAAATGCCATATTCCAGAATTCTGTATAGCAGTGATGTTGTCACTTCCTACTCGTGGAGATCCCTGTATTGTGTGTTCATGGTACCCAGCCCTGGGACCGCAGTCACATGCTTGACATACATACCATATTTCCTTAAACAGTTTAAATAAAAATTAAGACTGTTGTCACCCCCTTGGGAACAGGCTGTTTCTGATACTGTTTTACTTTTAATCCAGTGATACCTCAAACGTGTAAGGCTGTTTGCAAGCCCACTTCTTATTCAGATGAAGATGGCAGAATTCCTGCAGGAGCAGGGCAGCCTCTTTTCACTTTTCTTGTGCATTTATTGTGGAGAAAAGGAGGATATTCTTGTTGTTTAAGCATCTGGGGATGCTGCCACAGAACTTAATCTGAATCCTTTCATATGGTGGTAGTTGAAGTCTAGCCTGTCAGTTACACACATGGTTCCATCATGCCAACATGTTCCAGCAGAGCTGTTCAAGGATTCATGAGACCTTGTGGTTTGGTTTACTAATTTTTTGGTGCTTCCTGAATGTTTGGATCAAAACTAAACAAATCAAGGGGAAAAAAAAAATATTGAAATTTCTATTTCAGACTGCCCTTGCTCTTCTCTTCTCTGTGCTCTGCCAAATAAGATGTTTGTTAGGGTCGCAGATCAGCAAGTATAAAGAAACCTAGGCCCCATGTCCCATCAGTGTAGTATCTACCTCTTACCAAAGAATATTCCAGATCAAAATTTCTTTAATTAATTGTTTCTGCCACTGTTGGATCCTGTATTTTGATTTTCATGGAGTCTTGCACCTCTGCTTTACTTTTCTCCAGAATGTGGTGATTTTTTTTTTTTTCCTTTGGTGTATTTTTACACAAGGAGATTGAGTAATTTCTTTGTGTCACAGACAGGTCTAGCCCTATGCGGGTACACCCAGTGTGTCAGAGACCCATTTTATCCGGTTAATCAGAGTAGGTTTACTGAAGACTAGTCCCTCATTTCTCCACCTGCAGGGTAGAGAAAGGGTGTGCTCCAGCAGCACCACTGTGTGTGCCCTTCTCCACTTGGTTACCCTTTGGCTGTCAGTCCAAACATCCACCTAGGCTTTGCTGTCAGGCCTTTACCTTGGAGCATGTGACTGTCACAGTGTAGAACTCTCCACCACTGGCTGTCCTTTCTCATTTTCACATTCCAGGACAGGCTGGTTGTGAAAATCAATGAAGAGTTTGTGGATTAAAACACCAGCAAGGCTTCCCAGAGTTGGAGCCGTGAGTGGAACCCACCACCAGTGATGTCCAGCCCTAAAATGAAACACAGAAGAGGCAGCCGGTGAGCCAGACAAACCACTGCCCTGCTGCTGCATGGCACAGGGTAGGTGAGCTGAGTCTGCTGGGGCCGGAGTGAGCTGTCTGAGCAGAGGTGTCTAGTCCAAATTCACATACTGGTCTTAGACAAATTCTCTGTCCACCAGTAAAATTGCTGGAGGGAGGGTCATTTTCCCCACTGACCTGGGAAAGTGGCCCTGTACTGTCTGTGGGTTTCTTGTTCTCCTACTGAAATAGTCTGGGTGATCCTGATGAGTGTGACTGTCAGACAGACAGACATGCACCCCTTTTCCCTCCCCATTTCCAATAATACCTGCACCTCCTCTACCAAGCTCTCAAAGATATTTTCTGGAAATGTAATGAAAGATTTTGAGTACATAATGCACAGGGCTCATCTATGAATAACGCTTGCTCTCTAAGTATGGAGAGTGCTCTCTGCAGCAATACCATCACTTAGTCCAAAGAAAAAGGCTTCATGACTGTTTTATGTTGGGCTTATCTCCTCTCCTCGAGATCTGAGCAGTGTAAAAGCAAAATGGGTCACTCACGTGAAGACGTCCATTCCCCAGCCAGCAATTGCCGTGAAGACCCTGGGGGGCAGGTCCCGGGAGGGGTTTATGGCGTAGCCTGTGTTCAACCCCATCCCCAGGCCGATGCCCAGGACCAGGATACCCGTGAGAAGGGCCTGTGTGCCTTTCAGGGCTGCATTGTTTTTCTCATCGTGGATGATCAAAATGCCCAGGAGCAGCATCACTGTTGCTGTAAACTGCAGGAGAGGGAGAACAGGTCAAGGAAGAGAATGGTGAAGGCAGAAAGATCCTGCTCGTTAGAGAGGAAGAGATTTCCCACAACGGAAGAGCATGTGGGATTCATGATCTGATCAAATCACAGAGGACCCTAATTTTTTTCCCTCCTCACAGGTGGACTGAAGAAAATTCTTGACTCATTTCCCAGCAAAAATGTCTCCATCTCATGACCAAAAATGCTCTAGGACTGATACGAACTTCTCAGCACTGTCCTCTTCCTCCACTTTTCAAGTCAGTGGCATGGGTTATTTTAAGTACATTTCATCTAACAGAGGCAGAGCCATAACAAACTGCTAGCAAGGCAAATCTGATCTTCCCTAGAGGGAGTGATGTTCTCTATAGCCTGTTGTGATAGCCATTTCAGGACTAAAAGCAGATACTGGATTCTCATGTGGGAAAGCGAATCTGCTATCTGTGACAGTTATGTAGCTGACATTTGTAGATCTGCAGTGCCCAAGACATCAGGAACTGTGGTTTAAGTAGAGGTAATGACTCCTGTCTCTGCTTCAGAAAATGCAGCTGGAGAGCCCTGAACTACTTGCAGAGATGCCAGCAAAAGCAGAAAGCTGCAGCTCTTGACAGCGCACTGTCACTCTCATTTGCTTTCTTGTGCAGCAAGGACACTGCATGCTCCACAGGAGGCTGAGTTATCAGGTCCCCACCTGTAGGCTCCTCAACTCTCCCCAGGCAAGAGTTCTGTCAGCTCGGAGACTAAAGCACAGGCTTTCTCAGGTTTGAATTGGAAGTGAATCTTCCTTCTCCAGTATCCCAGTGTTCCACATCCCCTGAAGCATCCCCTTCCTCTTTCTGGACACCTGGACATTGTGTTTTATGCTGGGAACCAACTGTGCACTGTCTAAATTGGACTGTTCAGACCCCAGAGGTTCAATCCAGACAGTCTGTGTTCATGTGAAGACAATCCCGGGTCCTCTGTGCCTGTGATGGGCAGACAGCAGAGCTGCCTGGGAGCATGAAGCAAGTGTAGGATCCAAAAAGGGGATGAATAGTTCAGAGAGCTGCTCATAGACCAAAGGAGATGGTTCCTGATATAGCCTAGCTTCCCGTTTCTTGGGCTGCATGCAGGAAAGTTGCTTGAAGGGCACTCAGACCATGCTGCAGAGCAACAGGCATTAACTTTTAGGTTTGCTCAGCCCTCAAGGTGCCTTAGATCCTACCTGTCAGGCATCTACCTGGATGGTGGGCTCCTTGGAGTAGAGGTGGTGATTCTGTCTGCATACATAGCACTGTCAGTGTCCCCTGACTGTGTCCCCTGACAGTGTCCCCTGACAGTAGCAGACATGCAGTATCACCTGCTACCACCCACCTTCTCCTAGCACACCACGGCAGTCCCCACTGACCTCTGTGAAGAAGCCCCCCACCAAAGATACGTAGGGAGCAGGGTAAGTGGAGAAGATTGACGCTGTGGCAGTTGGTCCTGTTACTGTAAAGTTCCCCTTGGTGTAGTCATACAGAGCATCTAGAAAAAAATGGGAATTGCAGGAGTTAGCACAGAGTTCATCTCACATGGCATGTATGCAAGTCCACCATTGCAGCCAGCACAGACATCAAGGGGAAGAGGCAATGGGAGATATCATGGAGGTGACGCAGCTACTGGCCTTGAGCTGGGGACAGGTTTTGGTAGTGGGAGTGCCCTGAGCAACAGCAGCTGTATTCTCCAGGAACTGCACATCCTTCCCAGGGATACCTGGGCCCTGCTCTGGCCTTGAGCTATGCAGGTCTGTCCCACAAGCCAGGAGCTCACCCTCCTCACCCAGACATCATGCTGGGTACTGTAAAAGGTTTTTGACAAACTCAGTTAAGACTGAAATGGTGCCCACAGCAACCCCTGTCATAAAAGACACAACCATACCATAGTAGAGGGCAAAGACGGTGGCTGCTGCCGTAAAGGAGCCCAGGAACTGTCCAATGAGATAAGCTGGGAGCTTTCTCCAGGGGAGGTTTCCTAAAATGCAGTGTGTGAGGGTGATGGCAGCATTCAGATGTGCTCCTGCAAAAACACAGCAAAAGAGAGTGTCCTCAGCCCTGATGCAGCTGTTTTGGAGCATGTCCTACACTCCACCATAATAACCACCCAGACCTTGCACCAGAACACCAGGACTCTCTAGGAGCAGGGTCTCCCTCCTGCACAGACTCAAAACTGACATGTTTTCCATGGGAAGCTGAATGATACAGGACAGAGAGCTGCTAGCTTCAGTCTTCTAAAAATTCTGTAGACCACAGGCTGCCTCCGAAGAGTGGGTCATCTCACCTGCAGAAATAGCTCTCTTGGCATGGCATGAGTTTCCCTTTGTATGGGCTTCTCTATTCAGCCTAAGGGGAGCCCAGAACTTAGGCTCACCACCCACCTTTCCTATGGCTAGAGGTAGATGAAGCAAATCTTATCCCAAACAATTGGAACGCCTTCTGAAAACATCTGATAGACAAGCAGGGCCTCATTGTGGCAGAGATGAGCACCCCGGCTGATGGGAGCTGCAGGCCCTTAGCATATGTGTCAGGCAAGGCATAAGACGCTGGGGAAACAAACTTCAAAATCAACCACTGATTGCCTATGTCTTCATGTCTGCAAAGCAAATCCTACACAGGGATCTCAGCAGGGACTCAGATTAGCTCTTAGATGTCACTGCCTTTAGAAGGGGTTACCAGGATGATCAATCCTGCCCAGACCATGATTCCTCCCACAAGTATGGAGCAGATCCTGTCCTTCCCTTGCAGAGTTTGTAATCTTGGTCTGCATTTCCTTACGTCTCTTAGTAGGTGGCTTTCATACATTGCAAGACCAGTTTTCCCTGTTTTGAGGAGACACTTTCTATGGAGGAGGTTGGTATCACAATGGTGTTTTTGGAGAAGGACTAGGTGGATCCAGGTTTAGTGTCCTCATTACAAACAACGTTTGTTCTCCAGGTCTCATCTCCCCCTCGAGTACAAAGGAAATGTTTGCTTTTCCTGCCTAGTAGGTGTAAAGTTTGGGTGTCAATAAAAGTTCCAACATTAGGGGCCATCTCCTACTCCAGGCTCAGAAAGGGGTAGGATGCAGACACACATCATCTCTTCAAAGTGCAAGACAGAGTGAGATGAAAGCATATGTACTGCCTGCTTTGGTCCCACAACCACAACTGAAATGGGCTGAGAGTCCTTTTTCTTTGAGCCTCTAATCCTTTGCAGGTATGACCAGTCATTTCAGAGATCACAAGAAGCATCTTGTGACACAAATGAAGACAGATTACAATGCCAGGAAGCCCTGAAGCTGGTTCTGGAACCAGAGTGTTGCTGACTGATCTGAGACCCCTTCTCCCATTTACCAGCCCTCAGCAGATCAGCTTCACCTCAAATGTCACCTGGAACTGCAGGGACCTACTTTCCTCAGCCTACTTTCCCCAGGATGTACCCACCAGATCCAAAAGGACGGGGAGACTGAGAGCTGACTGCTCACATGGAAAAATTTTCCTCTCCAAGCCATCCCCATCTTGGACATCTCTTTCTTCCAACAATTCAAGAGCAAGGACTTGCTTTAATTTTCTGCTCACTAGAGCCCTTAATCTCTTCTCCTGGAGCAAATAAATGCAGAAATTGCACAAGGCAAAGGTAATGCTCTGTCATGTGAGAGATACCACCCCATGGTCCTGAAACACCACCTCCTGAGTTCATGTGGGTGTGTGTGCATGGGTGTGGATGATAAGGAGAAAATTTGCATACCATTCCTTATTGCAACATCGGCAGTAAGCTCTCCTTTGCAAAAAATTATTTACTTCCCCATTGTTCATATTGGCAGAGTGTTTTCAGAGCTCCTTGTCTCCTTGGGCTGTGATGGGATACCCCAAGTGTCTAATGGGGGGGCACTGCTGAAATCTGGCTTCGCTGACCGCAACAGGAGTGGGTAGCCAAACCTCCACCACTCTCCCCATCCTACTTGCCCCTGTCCCAGCTAAAGTCACATATTTGAGGTCAGCACACTGTAGGTATCCCGTGCCTGTCTTGTCCTCTGCTTCTCCTGACCTTGTCATGCCATCGCAGCGTCTCAGCTTGACCTCAGACCTGCCTCCTCCCTGCAGACTTGACTGTGAACACTGAGTCATGAGGCTGACCCTGGGTTTGGTCACTAGACCTGCTCTGCTTTTCTTACATGGGGCCCCTAGAACAGCCTTTTTTTCTGTTGAGGGCACTGCTCTGCCTTTCAATGCCATCACCCACCTCTCCGCAGACCAGTCATGCTGCCCCCAATGCATGTTGTCTTTATAGGACATAGAGATGTCCCATGCTCAAGTGTCCCACTCACCAGAGATTCCTCCAGCTGCATGGATGCCCAAGGTAACACCAATGCCAAATCCCAAATTGATGCTCAGATGCTGCCCAAAGTCTCCTCTTCCTAATACCACTTGTGCCACAGAAGACAAGCCAAAGACCTAGTGCATGGAAAAAGGAAGAGAGAAAGGAGTGTTAAAAGTAGTGTTATTGCTGTGGTGGACTGAGCTTCTTTGCTACTTTTCCTGCAATACTAATAAATTCCCAAAGACAGCAAGACTTTAAGGTGCCCACAGTCAGAAAATGAAGAAATAATTACCCTCCCCTTCAAAAACTGCAGCAGTACCTGCATCATTCCTCATTGGTGTCTATCACACCAAACCAGGCGCTCTAGTCATGGTTGGGTATGGTAGACAAAACCCACCAAGATCAAGGGCTCAAGAGGGATCACTCGCACAGCCACAGTAAGGGTGTCTGTACCTGAAATCAGGGATTTGAGCCAAGGGAACATCACTGCAGACCACCCGGAGACGGTGCCCAGGCCAGATGGAAGGAGGCTGCTCAAATTCTGGTTGTCTTTCTTTTCCTGGTGTGCAATTTATTGGCCAAAAAAGTACTTTGGGCAGCACACAGCTATTGCCAAACTGAACTCTAATTTTGGTAACTTATTCTGGTGAAAAACAAGGAAGGAAATTCTGGTGTGACTTTTCCTTTCAACATATATACTTTCAGTTATAAAACCACCAAAGTTTCAATATTTTTTTAGTGACTAAATCAGAACCAGGAAATAAATTTAAAAGTAAATACTGTTCAGCAGGAAAAGACATATTCAAGAAATTGCTCTGGCCTGAAAGGAAATTCAATTTCACTTTTTTAATGTGGTCAGAGGGTGGAAAAAACAGTTCTTTGCACAGGTCTTGGAGAGGTCTTTCTTTGCACTGAAATCTGGAGGAGGACAAAGCTTCTCTTGAGGTCTCTGCCTTGAAAACCACTTAGGGCTTGGAGAGTATATCCTGTTCTCTGGACTGCATCAGTGTTTATCCAGGATGACATGTCCCTCCATTACAAAAAAGTCAGTATGTTCTCCAGCATCTAAACTTCTCTTTTGACTGTTCTATTTCGACTGTGATTTTTTTCTAGCTACTCTGGCTGGCTCCAAATTTTATTTATCTCATGTGTCTGCTCTCCCTCTTTGCTTTCAGACATCACCAAAATCCCCTGTTCCCCAGAAACGTTGTTCTTATCTCTCTCATATACACAGACAACACTCTGCGTTTTGCACAGAGCTACAACCTTCACAGTGTGAGCCCTTCTCAGTCTGCCTCAGCAAAAGCCCCAAAAAAGCAGTGTTTGGGATATCACCCAGCATCTGCAAAGCCCTTACAAAAACTCTGCCTACTCATCTCTGACTTTTCCAAAGCCACATCCAGAAGAAGCCAAATGCATAAGGCACAGGTTTTGCAGAACAGCACGCAGGTGCAGAGAGGGGTGCAGGGCAGGAGAATGGCTGTTGCTGCATAGTATCCTGAAAAAAACACAGGACAGGCCACAGAATGTATTTTTCAGCACAGATTCAAACCTCTGGCCTCTTCCTCTGTTCTTACCCTTTTTTTTTTTTTTTCCTACTTCCCTACTCCTTGTGCTGTTTACTCCCGCTGCCTGGTTTCCTCCTTTATGAACATTGCCAGTCTATTACAGTGATAGGCACTTAGTGCTGGTGTCCAAGTAACAGCCATCCAGGCATCCTGGAGATGCATCCAGCACATTCCCTGTTGAGCTGAGGGCCAGGGGGTGCTGAAGAGCTGGATGCTGGAGGCTGCATTCTAATGCTGGATGCTGTTTGTTGCCAGCCCTTGATGGGGGTCCATCAGCAGTGTCCCTCCTCCTACTCTATTCCCTCATGGGGAATCAGTGAAGAAGAGTCAATGGGAGCTGCAGGGTCCAAAATCTGCCTTGGACTGTCAGAGTGCAGGGAAAAGTCTGCTCACCATGCTGCTTCCCAGAGACAGCCCTGGCAGGACACCTCTGAACTTGTCCTCTATCACCCGGGAACTTCCACCACCAAAAACCAAAGGGAATGGAAAAGGAAAAGGGTTTGCTCGGCACCAGCTGAGGAGTCACAGATGCCTGTACTCTGGCTTCCAATGCATGCAAAACTGCTTGTGTAGTAGAGTGAACCTCAAGGAGCTGGATGTGCAATAAGATGTGATAAAAAGCAAGCATCCTTTGTACATGTAGTCGTTGTCCTTGAAAATAAGCACCTTTATCTGTACAGACAGCTGTGTGAAAAAGTCCCCATGCTTACACAGATCTTATCTTCCTCCTGTGCAAATCTCCAAGTACAAGTTATCTCCAGCACTTCCATTATAGTCTCTGTCCAGTCCAAAGTGTCTCAGCCCAGGCTAAGGCCAGGGTAGTAAGTTGGCACAGACAGCTACTGGACTTTTTCAAGGGGAGGATCTCATTTTGCTAAGTTGGTCCAACACAGGAAGGCTGTGGTCCAGGTGGGCACCTCACCCTCATCTGGCATCAGTTCTGACTGCAAAGCCTTCCTCACCCTGTCTCCAACACCTCTGAAACAGGCGAAGAGCAAAAAAACACTTTGCTTTTTTCTGCATGAAACATATTTCTCATAAAGGAAGGAGTTTCTGTATGATTTGGATAAGCACTGTTCATTTGCCAACAAACCAAATGCAAAATCTTGGCATGCTTTACACCCAGTGATTATGTTTCCTAACAGTGGGTTGTGGCTCCAGAGAGTTTCATGGGCATTTATTACCCTGGCAACCCGGGGTAAGAGGATCCCCCAACCACACCATTGCCTCTGGCACAGCAGGAAGAAAATCCTCAATTCACTGCATGGGATCTTTCAGGGGGTTTGGCACAAGTGTTGCATTGCCCCATCTGACCAGACACTGCTCTTTGGTTTCAGTCCCAGAATCTCTCATTTCCCTCCTAGAAGAGAACTGAAAGAGCAGCTCATCCCCAACTGCTTCACCCTCTCCCAGTGCCCACCTCCCACCCTACACATTGCTTTTTTTCCTCCAGAAGGTTTTTGACAGATGGTCTACCTGATAGGAAGCCGCAGTCCCACCAGAACAGAGGAGTGAGCAATAGCAACCAGCTGCTGAGCAACCCTGAGGTCGTGGCAGGAAACCACCGACTTTACAAATTAGTGCTGCAGTTACACTCTCACCCACCCTGCACACACGCACACTCACATGCACGGACACACATGGGCCCATCTCTTCCTTACCATGAGGATGAACATCCCCAGTGCTTCTGCCAGCAGCTCCCTGACGGTGCCGCTACGAATCGTGAGCGCCTTCTGAATCTTCTCCAGCATTTTGCTCTCTGGCTCCAGCCTGTAGCCGTGGGAGCTCCTGTTGTGACAGCACACTTCATTGCGCTGAGCTAAGTTACCCTTTGAAACCTGGCACCCTCCCTTCACCCCCAGACACCTTCATTCATTTGGTTAACGATGAACAAGTCAATAAACTAGCAGCCAGCTTCAAAGCTTTCACACACACGCTTGCCATGCTTTTAAAACGATATGGTAAGGATGCAATATTTCTGCTACTGGGGCATTGCAAACGCTCTGCCTCTACCCAGAAGCAGCCTATCTCCAGATCCGTGGATCTGTAAATAGCCTTGGTGTGCCCCTAAAGCCTCTGTCTTTCTCCATAAGCTTTTCCGCAGAAACTGAACAGGAATTTTGGCTCTGCTCTGCATTGCAACCCACTGGCTGGTGGTTTGGTGTCATTTTTTTTTTAACAGGTGGGATTAGCCTGTGCTTTGGAGGACTATTTGGATGCCCAGCCTGCAGTGGGGATGCTCTGACTGGAGCTGGTGTGCACCACTGTCTGCAGCTGGGAAGAGCTCAATGCTTTGAGCGTTACTTCAGGTTGAATATTTGCTCTTGCTGAATGCATCTGTGTGTGCCCCTCCCATCACACCAGTGGAGAGCCTCCCCACCAGCCCCCTGGTCTGTTCTCTCATGGGGGGCAAAGAGACACCGGTCTTGGCAGTGGTCACCAGAGACCTTCAATCTCATCTGGCTGCCAGAGCAGAGCCCTCACTGCCCTGATTCCTCCTCCATCTCCTGATTCCCTGTGCTTATCTCCCTACTCACCAGATGCTCTTACCTCTCCACTGTGAAAAGGTTTTAATACCTTTGTTGAAAAACTTGAACCCACTGAACCCTCAGGACCTTTTTCTGCAAACCTTGTCTTGTTCTCCACTGGTTTTCTTCACCTTCCTCTCAACCTGCTGCAGCTTCTCAGTGTGACTCTGGAGGGTACACAGTGCACAGCTCTTTGAGGCATTACCAGCAGCTGCCCCGATGGGGACTTGGCACTCTGATCATGCTGCCCTCCTGTCATCTCCCTCTGCACCACTGCATTGCAAAAGTTTTTGTGCTTTTCTTTCACCCACAGGACACTGAGCAGCTGTATGGAAGAACCTGTGAAGCTGATTCTCCTCTCTGTCCATAGATGATTTTTCTATCTTGTGTCAGGGAAGGGCTTTATGGACTGGGGTAAATCCTCCTCCAGCAACAGCTCAGCTCTTGACCTCAGTGAACACCTGGCTGAATATACAGTAATTTACTAGTCTGTCTCTGATACTAAGGACCATCTAATCGTGATGGATGATAACCAGCCTGCTGGCAAGGGCGCTCCTACAGCATATTTCCAGGTGGTAAGGTTTTTTGTTTTATGAGTCTGTGAGCCAAGCTGTGGCACAGAAAATGTGGCCAATAAATCTTTCCAGGTCACTTCATTCTCTGCCATACAAATATTTATTAGTGGAGCACACAAACACAGGCCCTGGAGCACAAGGTCAGGGTGGTGACAAGAGCCTAAAGTTTCTTCTGTACATGGGAATTTCCAGCTGACATGTGAAGCTGAGGTCCTGGCATCAGCATGTCTTGGAGATCTCCCAGCCTTTCTCAGATGGACGAGCTGTGAGTGGGTCAGCATCCCCCCCAGCTGGACCTACAACTTCAGTTTTCATTCCTAGATCTCAGGGAGTCTTCCAAGTGGATTCCTCCCCTGTGGGCAAACAAGAAAGCTGCCTGTCTCTGAAAGGCTTTATCTCCTGCATTTAAACATTAACTACAGGCATCTCCATATTCTAATTTGGGCTGAAAAATGGACAGGTACTTCCTGGGAACACCAGGCTCCTATAGACTTGCAGTCTTCTCAGGAGAAAAAAGCCATCCCAGTTTGCAATAGAAATCTTTTATATTTGCAGCATAATCCCTGATAATGCCACCAAATTCCCTAAAACTCCAGCATGCTTCTAGGATAGCATCAAGGATCACTAGCTATGTTTCTTGTTAGTGCTTGTCTTTTTACACAGGTCATTCCACAAGATGGCACTGAGACATTAATTTCTCCCTTAAAAGTTTTCAGAAGGGTTCCTCTGTTGGCTGCTGAAAATGTGAGAACCCTTTAGTTTTAGGGTTCCTCTGGGCATTTTTAAGCAAAAGTGATCTGTCAGTGTTCAAGGAGGGTAACAACAACAAAACAAAACATCTTTCTATAGGTCCTGCAGGGCAGAGCATCTCTGTTCCGACAGCACTCAAAACTGAAGTGTGTGAACCTGTGCCTCCACTTCATAATCAGCAGAAGAGCTGTTCATCCCCACCTAAACAAGCATCTGAGGCCAGACCCATGAGTCATGCTGGATGTTGGCAGTTTCCCTCCAGCTCTGCTCTGGGCCTGTGGAGTGATTGACTCCAGCGTGCACACCCACGTGGAGGTATCTACCTCCAGGTGAGCTGGGATGCCCTCCCTCCCTGAATCCAGATGTGCTGATCTTGAGCGAGCACAAACAACCACGTGAGTCAGCCAAGGGCTGGAGTGCAAAGATCTGCCAGTTGCCCAACATGACCTGTTCGTACTTGCATGGTTTCACCTACCTGCAGGGCTGACGAGGATCTCTGGTGTCACCAGATATAGTCCCCTATTGAGATAGGCAGCCACACCACATCTTCCCTTTTGTGACCTGGCCAGTCGCCATTTTAGGGATAAGTGCTTTTTGCCCCAACTCCTCTGGAAGTCTCTTACCAGCCCTTGCTGCTCTGGAGATAAGAGATTTTCTTTTACTTTTCAGCCAAAGCCATTTGTTCATGTGCCAGTGTTAGACCATCACAGTCATGAGTTAACTTATTTCTTATAGGTTCTATCCCTGAAGTTTTCCTATAACATTTGTTAGAAGAGTGTTAGCTGCTTGTGCTTAGCTCTGCACTGCCTCCTGATGTTTAACTTGACTTGCTCACAGGTTGAAACTTCACTCAACGTTGACCCTACAATGATTTTACCATGTTTTCCACTGCACATTAAGCAATCACCTGCTAAACCAAACCCATTTTCTTCCCTAAGGCAGGTGTGCTTTCAGCACTAGTAATAAAGGCCTCAGTTTGTAGGGGGAAATTTTGGCACAGTTGAGGCCCACTAACTGCTGGTGATGATACACATGGTACTGAAGAGGTGGAGGAACAACCCCCCCTGGGCCCTGATAGAGCAGCCCTGGGAAGGATCAGCTCCCAGGGACTCTAGGGCAGCCATGCTTCTGCAAGGAATAACTTCTCTAACTCAGCTTGACAGTGCACATGTTTCCTCTACACCCAGGAGCTCATTTAACTCTTAATTGCGCTTATCAACAGCTGGAACATCGCCACTCCATTAGCTTCAGCCCTTCTGGTGAAACAGTAACTTCTCCCCAGAGGCTGAGACATGTCTGAGCAGACAGCACAGCAGAGGAGCTCCTCACTGTGGATGAAGACAGCTTGCTCCTCCATCAGGCCAAGTGAACAAGGCACTGAGACATCTCCAGGCCCCTTTAGGAAGCAAGGCCTGGTCAGAGACACTGGTGTGACCTTAGCTGTCCAGAATAGACCCCACTTGACGTATCCTAGAGCACCTGCACACAGTGGTCTCACATTTAATGCTCATGGGTCTACCTCCTCCTCTCCCTTACGGATGGCAGGCACTGAGCAAGTCGCAGACACCCCAGATATTTGTCTCTCAGTGGAGGCCTTTGCTCTCCGTACTGTTACACAACTCCCCATTCCCAGGATACCAGCCTCCGTGGCCTTTCAGGTCACCCTGCACACCACCATCCCTTGCCCTGAAGCTGGACAAAGGCACATCACCTGCACATGCTCCTTTCCAGTGAACGCGGGCTAGCTCTTACCGTGCCTGGTAGGAGTGGTAGCTGAAGACACCAACGGAGGAATGTGGTGGCAACGATGAGTAGAATCCTGCTCTGGACTGCAGTCCTCCACTTCACTCCCCAGGGGCATGGTTCCTCCCCACCCCAGACTGCTAAATCTTGCTCAGCTGGAGGTAATCCGCGAGGCGGCGGTGTCAGCAGGAGGAGAATTACATGGCTTTTGTTGGTCATTAGGGTGAGAGCAGGGTTGTCCAGGAAGGGGTCGCCTGGGGTGGCACTGTCCCCATCGTTGAGCAACAAAGCAGAAAGCACCTGGGCTCCCCTGGCCAATGACCTACCCACCTCACCTTGGACCACCCTCCCCTCGTGCCCTCATCTGGCTTACCAGACAGAATCAGGTCATTTTTACGTGCAGCAAAGTCTGACGTTTTTTGAGGCACCCAACTAGCTTCAATCTGGACAAAGCCCTGGAAAGTCTCCCCCATGTGCTGGTATAGGACATTCAACCGAGAGAGAAACAGAGGCACTGGGGCACCCCAAGTCCTGCAAGAGACTTGTGGTACCTGTGGGATTTCCACTGAGGTCCTGCCAGCTCCTCACTTGCTGTCATCCCCCATTCCTTGTACCATCCCTGACCTGTGAGCATCTTTCTCTCCTGACCTGCTCAGGACCAGGCTCCCACCCTACCCCTGTGTGGAAGCATCCTCCTGACTTCCCTGGGACCCTGCTGCAGGGCTCCCCAAGACCCAGCTAAAGAGCAGGGGGGTCTGTGGGTGCAAATGCTTCTGCCAAGCTTTCAGCTGCCTGCTTGGGTCTGCTTTCAATCCACAGATAAGGTGAAATCCAGGGAAACCACAGGGCTCACAGGACTTTGTCACCCTAGAGATAAGAAGAACTAAGCTTTCTCCTGGAGGAGTGTGAACACCCACACTCTGAAAGGAGAGATTAAAGGAGAAAAGCTGCAGGCTGGGAAGGAGACACTGGATGAGCTGGATGAGGCCCTGAAGTTGCAGAGCCTGGTGGAACCAGCATGCTGATCTGAATGTTTTCCTGCTTGTGACTGTTCCCCAGAGACAGCAGAGAATGGCTGTGTCTTCACCTCAGGATGTATGCTCTTACAAACAGTGCCACTGACAAAACCCCTTTTACCTGATCTTGTGTTCCCTCCTCTATCTCATCCCTCCCCCAGTCACTCCAGTCCAGGACAGTCTACAGGACCCACCTGCCCAGCATCTTCCTAGGAAGCACCAAAAAGGCGTGAGCCTGTGTTAATAGTCTCAAAGAGCAAAACCAGAGCAGGACCTGGTGACAGGAACACAATCATGGCTGCTCCCTCTGGAGCAAGGCTGAGCCAACAATCAAAAAAGTCATCCTTCACACTACCAGATGTTTAAGGGTGGGCTGCATTCAAACATTCCACTCACATAAGACACGCCTGTAAACCCTTCAAGAGATGATGCTAAACCCAGAGGCAGACCATCTCCACTGCTAGTTATACAGATATTTTGTGTGGTGAGGAACCAACAGGTGACTGCTCATTGTCCATATATAAAATCAGAGATTTATGAAAAACCCAGGTGTCAGCCACACGACTGTGTTCTTCCATATCACTCCTGCCATGGGGTGTCCAAAGACCATCCAGCAGCTGGCATGACTCACGTTGGTGGTGAGCAATGCCTGCTGTGTGGGATTTGACTTTGCTCTCTCCACAGGGGAGGGAAAGGCTGGGATGTAGGTGTCTGGATCAGCTTTCTCAGAGCCAACCCACCTCATCCAAGAGGGCTGCTGCTGGTGTGGACGTGAAGGCATCCAAAGGAAAGCCCTGATAAGCTCCCACTATCATGGCAGGGAGGAGATGCCACAGATTCCTTGCAGACACACACACAAATCCCCTCGGATGCTACCCAGCATTTCAGTGGGGGTGGAGGTTTGCTCCAGCATCTGCCAGACACCATCACACTTGTGCTCCCCCAGGCCCTTCAGTCTCTTGTGCTGGTTTGGGAGATAGGAAAGGTGTGGTGGATCTGGATGATTTTCTGGTCATTCCCATCCTGTCGGTTCATACATGAAAAGCCACTGACCCAGAGCAACCCATAGAAACTGAGAATCCATCTTCTGGTGTCACCTGGACAAGAGTCAGTTTTCCTTGCTCATGTAATTTCTCAACACAAGTTCTGCATGACAGAGTGTCATCTTCACAAATTGACCAACATGAAGTCTATTTCCCTAAGCACAGAGCACCACATGTCAATCATTACTGGCAGTGCAGATGTTCCTAACCCATGGCAAATACTAGATATTGTCACTGGTCTTTATTGTCCCTATGTTTGTTTTCACATAGACACACTAACACACATCCACATCAGTCATTTCCTAATGAAGAAATAACTGTTGCATACCATCTTCTCAATTATGACTTCACAGGGACCTTCTTGCAGTCAAAATATCAAATTATAATCTCATGAGAATGGCAAAGGATCTATCACGAACTCCCAATGAGAACCAGTTAAAGCTTTCTGGAATTGTCTCAGTATATTTGGACAGGACCTGACATGATGGGCCCCTGATCACAACACAGTCTCCAGACTCTGTCACAAGAGCAACATATACACAAATCACAACAGGTCTGTGAAGCTACAGATATCAGGTTTTGCATCTGAAATGTTCAAGCATGTGTCAAACTGCAGCATTAGGCACAACAAATGCCTGGCTGGGTCTCTCACCTGCAGGAGCAGCCAGTCCAGTTTGTATACTCTACTGGGAAATACGTTGCTTTGCTCACATGGCTTTGACTGCTCACACTCACAATAAGCTCAGACTGCTTTTCATGCACTGGAGTATGTAGTACATCTCTAGAAGTCCTTGAGACGGGACGCTGTGGGCACTACAAAAGGATCTGAAGATGATTATAGAGATTCATGAAGGTAAAAATTCAGCAGTGACTACTAAACATGGACACCCCTCTCTGATCTCTGTGTTGTGAATTGTTGGAGACTGTAAAATTATTCTGGAGAAATACATTTGTTCTATTCTCACACTGTTGTCCCATCACATCTAGGATCTCCTCCATGGGTCCTACCTGTCTCAGTGATCATTGCCTTGCTGACTGTTGTGTCCAGTGGAATAGGATGTCCACCACTTCAGTCACAGGAGCAGAAGACTAGCAGTCTTCAGTAGCACATTCTTGAATTGCTCAGTTGTCCTCAGATGACATGAGAATATTTGGAATGTGTTCCCAGCTCTACAGCTCACCAGTGTGAGTCCTGAGCATCCACTCCTCCTCCCTGCCCAGTTCCCCGTGTCCAGGGAGTGACCAAGACACCTCATTCAGGAGCAGCTTGGGATGGGCAGAGGAGACATTTGCAACTGTTCACAGTTTACTGTGTAATCTTTGCTAAAACACCTGCCTCAGCTTAGTGCTGGAAGTGCCATCCTAAATCATCCATCACCTCATTGCTCTCTCTTCCTCTATGCAATGCAGATAGTGACCCCTCCCAGACCCAGGACAGTCAAGGACATACATGTGTCAGCTTCTATTTTACCACTGGTGAATTTAGTGGTCAGAAGAACAAGTAGGAATTTCCTTCACACACACAACAGGTCAAGCCAGCAGAACAGCTCCCTCAGCTCACCAGAGTACTTACTGTAATGCCTACAGCTGTGCGGCAATACAGTGGCATTTTAGATACAATAAAAACCTTAGAAGAGGGAGATCTATTGCACTGTGGTAAAGCCTCCCTTCTCCTTCCATCCAGTAGCTGGAGGAAGCCACATCATATGTGTCATTTAAAAGCAGACTAGAAGCAAAAGACACTTGAACACTCACCATGGGGAACAATTGTGTCCTGCTTTAGGGCACTAAATAGCTGACTTTGCCTTGTTCATCTCATATTTTATTGCCTCTGCTGTTTGTACAGTGCTTCACGGGAGAAAGCAAGCTAACAGAGCAGAGAGCCTACTCACCATTCACCTGCCTCCTCCCCTACACAGGCACCATCTCCCCTCCTGTGCTTTTTTTCTGCACATGTCCATGAGATGGCAGCTTTGGTTGTGGCACCACCACACCATGATCACACAGCACTGTCAGCAAGGGCTCACAGGAGAAAAGCAGTGTCAGATCCATGGGAGCATTCCAGGACCACTACCGGGCTCCCTCCTCTGTGCCCAGGGTGAGGGCTCCCACCTTCCTCCTTCCTGGTCAGCCTGGTTCCTGGTCCATGTTGGAGCTGTGGTCTGGGGAAAAGGATTCTCAGAGCAGGGTCTCATTCCCTTGCAAGTGCCATGCGATTTGCCATGTCACATCCAACCACCCATCCCCTACACTGGTGGTACCTGGAAATTTAGGATGTGAACAAAATCCTGTGAACTCACAAGACCTCTTTCAAGACCACAGAGAAGCAAAGGGGACAACTTACAACCAACAGTTTTGTGGGATACAGCATGTTTGTTGTATGTAGCCACAGGGTGGCATGAGGGAAGAGACGCCTAGCTTCATAACAATCTTTAAAGTACTGGTTAGTTGTTATTTCTGTCACACAATTACCCTGTGGTTTTTGGACTCTGATTTGTTTGGAAGCACCACTAAAATAATCCATCACAAACGCCTTGCACCCGTAGGCAACAGCCTGATGGAAGACATCCTGCTCTGATCAGCATCTGTGCAGAGTGAGATTTGAGCCAGCAGTTGCAAAAACATGTTTTGTTCTAGGCTGTCAGCACTGAGGAAAAAAAAAGTTCATCATTTGTGTTTGTTGATTCACACTTGCTAACAGGATAACAAGGGTTGATCAACACATAGAAATCGAGGTTAATAAATCATAATCATCTTTAAGTTCTCAACAGACTGACCCTAATCTGTAACCCAGGGTCAACACCTAAAGTATTCTGTCTACATGTCAATATTAGCTAACTCAGTACCCATCTATTTCTTGGAATGAAGATAGACCCTTTGGTTAAAGCAGCCTCAATGCCTGTGAATTTCTCCCTGCCTGCTGATAATCCACAACCTGTAAGAAAACTGCAAATCCCATGGAAGAGCCCTACAGTGTCAGATGGTGGCTGACGTGCATGACCACAAATATAGAACAAAGATGGTGCTCCCACACCCAGTGTCCCACCCAACCAACTGTCTGTCTGAAAGGAGTGTGTCCCTCCCCAGATGCTGTCACTACTTGCTGTAGCATTTAGCTCTAATCAGAGATTTCGCTTTCAAGCGCTGACCCATCCTGCCGGATTGGTCCTGCTTA